AACGTCGTATAAGAGCTGAAGAATAGAGGTGTTACAAGAGAGTAACAAACACAAAAAAGAAGAGGGGGGGGGGAGATAAAGAAGATAGATGTTTGATAGGAAAGAAGAAGCAAACCACATCAGAGCATCCACCAACCACCCACTCCTAAGGGAGAAATGTTGAACATATTTCATAATGTCATAGAACTTCATACGCTCAAGTCTCCATCAACTTTTTGTTTTCTCTTATCATACAGACAAGAACAATGATGGTGATGATGATGGGTTGACAATAAAGACAATAGTAACAACAATGACATCAAAGAGTATGACACTGCTACAGCTGTTATTAGCAACAATAATGACACGAACAGCACTAATAAAAAATATAACACTTAACATCAACCAAAACCCCCTCCTCTCTCCCTCCCCCTCCCCCAAAAATCCTATCCACTATCAGGAGCACCTACTTGTATCTCATGGTGTCTGGCACAATCTTTCCCCTCCAGTCCACCACGCTCGCCGACTGGCACCTAACCTTTCCTCTCCTCCGTCCATCCGGTGTGTCATCCCTGATGTGAACCATGTGAGACGCCATTGGGCTGGAGAAAGGCCGAGACACTGGGTCCTCACTGTGGAAGAAAAAAGGCGACAAAAGTCAAGAGAAAGTCCTCCCACTTGACCCAAGCAATATGCATATCAAAGGGCCACCACTCTTCGTACCCGACATTTTGAGTCACTGTCATAAATCCCTCCCTCATTACTGACCAAAGTAATTTCTTGCAACACTGGGCAAAACAGTGTTTATTTGAACTATATAACACTAAGTCTAATAGCGTAATATCATCCTCGCACATATGCACTAACCAGTTCTAGGCACCGTTTCTTTTGTTAACTTTCTTCCATAACACTACAAACATGGAAGAGAAGAAAAAGAATAAAATTGAAATTGTATGGAAATAACGACCCTGTCAGTGCTGTATGATCATTTACGAAGTGGCATCTCTGTAGTCAATCACCATGTCTGATAGGATCCAGCTTTTAAAAACCCCCAACAACCTAACTTCCTTGATCATTGACTTACAATTCATATTGACCACTATCTTTTATTTGAGTTGATTTGTCGCTTTCAAGCTAGATACTATTCACAACTAGTTCACTTAGATTTTAAGATTAGATCTAGCCTACATTTCAAATTTGGATGTTGTTTTTTTTTTAATAAGTATTTTACGGCTCTCACAACTGCATAAAGTCATATGAGTGCGCGGGACACATCAAACATTTTCAATTGGTAGGAAATTTTGAATTTTGCCCAAGTGGCAGCCGAAGCCTACTCTTATCATTTTGGACAACCAAGGGATCTTTAATGTGTGCAACTTGCACACCGGACCTCTGAGATTTTTCGCCTTTGTCCAAGAGGCTAGGGGTAGTAAATCTTTCCTACCAGAAGATCAGGGGTGTAGCTGAAAGACAGCAGTAAGGAGCCGAGGAGTAGCTGTAGAAAGGCTGCAGAAAGAGTCAGGAGCCCAGTGGAGGGGGCAAAGGATGTGAGGGGGTGGGGGAAGAAAGTGGAGACGAAAGCAGACGACAGAATATTGCAAGACAGAAAGAAAGAAGGTGAAAGGAGACAATTTTAGAGAAGAAAATTTATTCGTCGCTACCCGGATTCGAACCCAGGACCTTTGAATGAGAGGTGAACACCTTAACTTCTAGACCACGACAGCCCCCCTCAAATTTGTTGTCTACAATTTTTTTTACTGAAGTTCAACAATGACCCCATTGGGAATTCAAACAAGGGCCACCAACACTACAGCCAGTAAAATGGGATCTAAGATAACCACACACCCTAGGATAAGAAAAACATAGGACGTATACTTCAGTGACTTTCATTAGAGGATGTATGCGTTTACCTATTGTGGGTGGTTGGCGGGTGCTCTGGTGTGGTTTGCCTCTTCTTTCCTATGAAACACCTATCGTCCTTATCTTCCCTTCTTCTTTTTTATGTTTGTCACTCTCTTGTAACACCTCTAATCTTCTGGTGCTCATATGACTTTATGCAGTTGTCAGAGCTGTAAAACCTATACTGAAACTAAAAAAAAAAAAGTTCACACGTCTCCCACAATCATACAAACATGTCTCCTCTTTAGAAACAACAGAGTTTAGTTAAACAGGGCGCAGCCAACTAGAGCCAAACAAAACACTCCGTGTACCTGGCTGCGTTTGGCACTGGTGTGGGACACACCGGATGCTCTGAACCCTCGACCTCCATCAGGGTTCTTGGGGTCATGGACGCCGTAGCCTCGCGGGGGGTCGGGAGGCCAGCTGTAGATGGTTGGCGAAAACCTGGCTCAGGCTCAGGGGCAAGCTGAAGACAAAAAAGAAAATATCATGCAGGTTTGTGCAAAGCAGCGAGAAATTTATTTGGTCAGCATATTTTTCGTTCTTTCAATACTGTAAAGTTATTAACGATGCAAAAACCTCTGGCTAGAGGGGAAACGAGGCTTTTGATTCATGCTCCAGAGGTTGACCTGATGCTAACATTTTTTAATTACTTCATCAACAGACAGAAATATACATGATAACCTCATTGAACTAGGTCCTGAACCCCAAAAATGAGCAGAAAAGGGGTTGAAATAGGTCTGAACAAGTAAGGATCAACGATTTTGTTAATGTTGGCACAAAATGATCCCTTTACGACACGTTCACTAATTATGTTTGTCCCAAGAAAATTGAAAACCTTTACAAGCGTACAGTCCAAAATCATTACAGTTAATACCTGTGTTTCGTAGAAATTCAATTTCATTTTGTATTAACTCCCATTTTTTAAACTGGAATTCTGAGCTTTCAAAGTTATTTCCATCAAAAACGGAAAAATGGGGTTAGTACAAGATTACACTAAAATCGTGAAATGTTGCAAGGTAATCTAATTTTTCAAAGCTGGCGGAGTTTGACATATAATTCTCTGGTTAGACTACAAGTGTTTTGCTGCACTATGTCTTGGATTTTAATTTTGTAAGACCAAATAATCTCTCTGTTAAGTTTATACAGATTGTAAACGTCTTACAATTTTTGCAGTTTCCATCCACATGTCAAAAGTTGTCCCTTTTGTTGCAGGGTGCCACTCGTCTTACCTTCTCTTTGAAGTAAGCCATGTCGTCAGTGACAGAGTCAATGACCGTGATGACAGTGTCTAGCTTGACCCCGGTGTCTGACAGCCCCACCACAGGCTTCTCTTCTGGTACAGGCCTGGACATGAGAAAGAAAATTACAGCAAAGTTCAACACGCCTCTTCTAAAGAAAGGTAAAAATAAAATTATTTTGTTACTTCCGACTCAAAGGGTTGTTGTTAAGTTGTAGTTTATGCTGAATTAGAAGAAGAACGGCCTCTTTCACAAGGAATAAATACAGACTGAAAAGGAGTAAAAGGAGCAGGCTACAGAAGAGTGCCCACTCACCATCCATGACTGAGAAGGAAGGCGTAAAGGAGGAGGGCAAAAGAGTTCATATAGCTAACACAGAGACAAAAGAGCAACACATCGTCTGTTCACACTCTCAACATATACAGACATGCTTTATCGTTATATTTTGTATGAACTCAAGCTCATAAATAATGTCAACCAATGTTGGTAACAGTTTTTAGGAGTGTGGTCAATGGGAGGGGGGGGTCCTTGGACAAGACTTAAGGCCTAGGTCAGCCCAAAAACAGGTTATTGCACATTTTGCACCGAATAGCACTAGATCTAGCATTTATTGCATATTGTTTCTACTGATGTGCGATTCTGTATTTTGTTATGTTATTGTAACCTCAGAATTATTTTATATTATATATGCCTAGTACATGACATTGTAATAAAAATTTCCTTAGGGACACAGATAATTGGAAGTCTAATGGATAGGTTACAGGACTTGTAATCTTGAGGTTGTGGGCTTGGGGGTTTGTGCCTACGATCTTGTCAGCACGTTAGTGTTTTAGCGCCTTTAAAATGGCAGCTAGCACTGTATGCTTCCCAGGAAGTTGAAATTGTTTCAGAATGTTTTCAGGTCTGCTGGGGTAATAATAATAATAAAGATTGTAAAGCGCATAGAGCTTGCTGTTGAGTGGGAACTTGTGCTATATGAATGCTATCTATTATAATTATTATTGTTACTTTTATTTACGTTTTTCTCTTCTGAACAAAAGACACAAGACAACCAAGATAACAATCCTGACCTGACAGTTTCTTCTGACTGTTTTGACGTAACCACTGCAGGTGTGTGTCCACTTCCTGGTGCATTGTGAACTTTGGGAGGCGCTGACTTGATCCTTGCATACTTTGCTGACTTGGATCTAATCCTGGTTGGAGGGACCATACCATCTGCCTGCTGGTAAAAGTCTTCCAATGTCTGGTTCATGTATGCTTGAGCTTCTTCATCTGAACCCCTTGGTGCTGGGAATGGAAAGAAAAAAATGTGAAATCGTATAGGTTTTACACCCCTATCAACACTATTAGGTTATTAAAGAGTTGGGACCTCTGCGTTTAAAGTCCATCTTCAAAAGGAACAAGTCAAATGGGAAATTTGTGTAAAGGGCAATTCCTAACCACTAGGCCACCAACGCCACTAATTTAGGGGATTAGAAAGCAACAATTAAAGAGAAAAAAAAGGAGAGACAGTTAATGAGACCGAAAAGAAACAGTTAAAGAGAAACAAAAAAAAACCCCAAACACGTTATTGAGAAAGAAAGGAAACAAAGGGAATGGAGCGAAACATTTAAAAGGAGGGAATGTAAACAATTAATGGGAAAAGGAGAGAAACAGTTAAGGAAAAAAACAAAACAAAGGGAAAGAAGGTCCCTCTCCCATAGGGCTAAGCACAGTAGGGTGAGAGCCATGAAAACACCTGAAGCAACCTAAGTGTTAAAAAATGTCCCACTGGAAATTCGAAGCGAAGTCACTGGCTCTGAAACCTAGATTGAAACCCTCTGAGCAAATAAGGTTTTTTAAAACATTTTTGTTAAAATGTAAGTGTTAAGTGTTTTTACGTCCACATTGACACAATTTAGATCATTTAGGAGGTCAGCTTTTACCCACCTTTATGCATATTCAGCTATTAAAATACAAACAAAAACAAATGTAAAATAACTGAAAAGAAAATATTTATCGAAAACTGACACAAAAAACTGAAAAAAAAATAAAGTAATTGAAACTGAAAAATTCACTTACACACAGAAGTTGGGCTTATGTGCTGGGAAAAATGTTTCACCACATCTTGTGTATAAATTTCCGGCATCTCTCCACGGTTGTGAGCTGCGTAGCGCACATCTGAAGCAGTGCCACTGCGGCCAACAAAGCTCAGCTTGCCTGGGATGAAAAATATTTCTTGTAGTTTTCAAAATCAGTTCAAATCATTATTAAGCAAAGATAGCATATTTTGAAAGTAAAGAAATTGGATCTGTAGTAAAAAGAAGGAAAGAAAGTGGATGAAAAAAAGAAAGAAGGAAAGAAAATAGAAATTGCACAAAAAAGTAAAAATGAAATAGTCATCCAGAAATATATCATTATGTAACGTGTGTCATTTCATAACCAGTAGGGTTGTATTTTCTAAAAGTAGGCAGATTCTCTTTTCATTTTACCCCTTAACACCCTCACAGAGCATGAGACAGGCGTTTGTCACAACTGCATAAGGTCATATGAGCATGTGGGACATATGAAACATTTTTAGTTTGGTAGGAGTTCATTTTGAATTTTGCTGAGTGGCGGCCGAAGCCTACTCTTATCGAGTTTGGACCACAAAGGGATCTGTAACATGCACAATTTGTACATGGGACCTCAGAGATTTTTCCTCCTTATCCTAAGACTAGGGGTGTGGCTGAACGACAGCAGTAAGAAACAGCCAAGGAATAGCAGTAGAAAGGCTGCAGAAAGAGTCAAAAGCCCAGAGGAGGGGACAAAGAGGGGTGAAAGGACAGAAAGTGGAGACGAAAGCAGACAGCAGATAATGGTTAGAGAGCAGGAAAGGAGGTGAAAAAAGAACATTTTCAAGAAAAAAGTTTTCAGAAGCTGTAAGGTTCCAAACTCGGAACCTATTGAATGAGAGGCGAACACCATAACCTCTAGATCACAATAGCACCCCTGAGACAGATATATGCTTATAGATTATAAATGACAATGAAGAGCAATCTTCTAACTGATGACAATGTATAAAGCAAAATCAAAAAAGTACATCAAAAGCAACATAGTAACACACTGGCAACATGAAGGAAAACATCTTGTTTCCAAATAGTTGACAGAATTACCATGTATAATGCTTGCCATACAAAGGACTCAAAAACAACATCAGACCTACAGATGTGCATAATTTTCAATATTTCTGTATTTTTCCAGAGACTTTTATTTTCAAAAAAAAATACAGATTTTGATTAGTTTTCTTTTTCTTTTTTTTTTTTAAACACAGTTAATATTTTAGTTCAAGAACAGATTTTTGTTTATATTGATTGCTAAGAATCTGTAGGCCTAAAATTGATGTAGGCCAATATCACAGTAGGTAGACCACAATGATAACCTGTAATTCTTAATTGACACACATCAGTTTTTTTCTTTAGTCAGTCATGGATGCAAATAATTTTACAAAAAAACCCAACAAACCAATATTTCAAAAATGATATTTTTAACGCATGAAAAAGAAAAACATAGAAAACAAAACGTGTTCATGGTAGCGTGAAAGGTAACACAATGGCATTGCGACACACCAACAAGTAGTAGTGTCTGGCACTAGTGATGGCAGTGTCTGGGTGGTACTGAATCACTTCTGATGTCCTATGACGACCAGCCCAGGTGGCTATTCAGGCTACTTATTTACTTTTTACTTTTCCATAGGCAGTGAAAGATTATGTCAGTATGATAGAGTTTTAGAGCCTATAAAAATGCAGCTTGTATTGCATGCTTCCCAAGTTGAGATTGTTTCAGAACACTTTCAAGTCTGCTGGGGTAATAATAAGGATTGTATAACCTGTAGAGCTTGATGCCGAGCAGGAATTTATGCTTTTCAAACGCTATCTATTATTATTAGCCTCTCACGGCTGTTCCCGAGCGGAGCACTTAGTTACCTGAGGAATTGACCCAGTCAGTCATGCTGAGCCCGGGTGGTCAGGGAGGTCACTTTGACCTTTGCTCTGCGAGTGAACTGTTGTGACTTAACAATTTTTATACAGTTTAATATCGTCATCGTGGCTTTGCCCACAGACAAATCAAAGTCAAAATACTATCAACAGACAGAGGCATCCTTGAACTGTACAGCAAATAACTTTTTATTGATATTCATTGCTGGGCACCCTTTAAAACATGGCGCAATTGAGGGCAATTTTGAGGGAAATTTTTACCTGGGTCTACTTTTTAAAATTACGATATTTTAAAATGTGAACCCCAGATCTATAAAATAATCATTGGCATACAACAGTGACATGATGAGCTTTCAGAAACACTTACTTTTGGTTTGATTGGTTCAAAAACGTGGAAATTGTAGAAGATTTACTACTGTCCAGCTCATGAAATGAGAGATTTTTCGTTGTCTCCTCACAGTTCAAGCAGAAATAGTTAACTTGTAGAAGGTTCACTGCTATCCAATTCATGAAACAGGAGTTTCCTCATTGTCTTCTCACAGCTAGAGCTGCTTTCACTTTCACAAACACAACTCATAACAATAAATGCAAAAGTGTCTTTGAGTTCAAAGGCTAGTTGTCTTCCTCTTCTTTCCCTTCACTAACAGCTTTCAACTGCTTCCCTTTCCCCTTAATTCCCACTGTCGTCTTCTCCAGTTTTGCGGCTGATGTGAACAAGTTCGCCACCCTCTTTGCTCATTAAACCTAAATCTAGGCGAAATCCATATCAACTGCACCTTCCTTTTCTCTGCAGAGGAGTAACGTTTTCTCCGTGTCATTTGTGTAGTGACTTTTTCTTCTAAATGAGACAATGGTTGTGTAATAGGTCTCTGAAATGCATGCTCTAGTGATGTGTCTTCAAACTATGCGAAAGGAGATGTTGCACTGTCTTTGAACTCTTCCTGTGTACATTTGGATGTTGAAGTCGCGGATGGTGTCTCTAGGATTAGATCTGTGTGGGGAGTTCACTGGTGACATTCCTAGTGATGATTGATCTACTATGGATGTCTGTTGAGTACTTTCATGTGATTGATCGTCTGCTGCAATTACATGGGTCGGTGTTTCAACAGATGGAGGCTCTGGTGGGTCTTTTGAGCAAGACGGTGTTTGATATACTTTTCTAATACAACCTTTATTTTGAAGTGTGCAAAGGGAACACAGAGGGAAAGCATCTACTGTTTTATTTTCATCGAAAGGTGTCCAGATGTGTGAACTTTCTTCAATACTTTTTTTGTGCACCAGCTAGGGTTGCTTCTCAAAATCTTAAGGTGTATATGCGCTGTTGGCCTACATATTTGTTGCACAGTGTACAGGATGTGTGTCTGCACTATCCCAGTTCACGTTCACATGAGTACGTCATTCTTAAAATTTACTCAAAAATATTTGCTCTAGTTTGCCTTCTTAACCTTTTGACTTTTGGCCTTGCACGTTCTTCACAATTTTTTTTTAACACTCAAGGTGTAGTTCACTCTGGTAGCAGACTCTTGTAACACGTGTCGACACAGAATCCCAGAAAGTGAAAGCAGGACCTCGGATGAATGCTGTACGGGCAGCGCGGCGGCCGGGAAAATATCACGGGGTGAATTAACAAAACTCGCCGTCCTGCTAAAGTTTTTCAACCAATCAAAACAATTTTTTCACAAATAAACTCCTTACTGACTCTTAATACAGCAGATAAAAAACTGGTTACAATCTGAAGTTCACGATTGGAAAAAAAATCCTGATTTTGGAGGAATCCGAGAAATATGCGCTCCACAAGGTAGGGTTAAGTACAAAGGCAGTGTGTGTACACGAATAGAACTAGAACCAAAATAAAGGATGTGGGTTATTTGGGAGAATCTGAGCTTTCATTTGATACCTCACACACCCATAGTGATAGATAAGAGAAGACATTTACAGGGGTCTAAATCAAGCGAAAATTACAGACTTTGTAACCGAAATCGGTTAACAGCGCTATCACCCAGGAAACGATGCGCGGCCCAACTGTCAGGTGGGATTTATGACCCCGGGAGGTCAGCGGTCGGGTTAAACTAAGAGCTCCGCAAGGATAGTGGAACTGAACAGCCGTGCTCTGTTGCTATTGAGCATAAAGGGGAGATGCAGGCCAACTCTGCAGCTCTTTCAATAGAGATTATGTAAAAGTTTCTCAGGAATCAATTGACTTCCTAAATTAAACTTTTGTGCGGCCTACATCTTCTTTAATAGGCTGAGTACTTTATCTTATAGATTTTCGAGACTGGATGACAAGGTGACATTCTTAACAGATGGCTTAACCATTTTATTCCCTGTTTTTCTTTGAAATGCCGGCAAGACTGGGTGCCAATATATTATTATAGGCTACTATAGGTCAGCAATACCAGCTGCAGCAACTGAAAGGGAAGGACAGATGATGTGGAACCCTTTTGCTTCATAATACATTGCCCCAGGCATTACCTGAATAGTTTTACTGCTTTATTTGTCTCTTTGATAGTGTTTGAGCGCGTGAAATCGGCAGCTTGCACTGTACGCTTCCGCGAAAGCCGAGAATGTTTCGGGGTGTTCTCAGAGGGTCTGCTGGGGTAATGATAGTTGTAAAGCGCATAGAGCATGTTGAGCATGGATATGCGCTATATAAATGCAATTATTATTATTATTATTATTATTATTATTTTATCTTGAGACAAGTTTTGACATTGTTCCTACATTGGTTGCGAACTTATGCTTCTTTTCTCAAGTCTTAACTCTTTAAAGACGAAGCGGGCACATCCGTCCTAGTGGCAGCATGGACAAAGGCAATGTTGCACCACATTTTGAACCATAATACACAAATAAAAAACACGAATTGCATATTTTATAGTATGCACGCTGTTACCTGTCTTTGTCAGTTCCATGAAGAAAACAGATTTAGAAAATCTGAATGGGCAACGAAGTTATGCTTTTTTGACAAACCACCCCAAGACAAAGCAGTGTGTCTTCAAGCATTTTTGAATGTCCAGAATGTGCGTCCTCAATGAGTTAAAGTCAATCTTTCTTAATTAAGGGCATATCCCTTCGTGCTGGCATCTTGGTACTTTAGTAGAAGTCAACCTTTTTTTTTTCGGTTTTCTGTCCATTCTCCAGTTCTAACAAGGGGATTTTGGTGTTCTCCTATCTTCCATGTGGTGAGGGCATCCTGGTTACCCAAGTCTCATTGCATGAGAAAATTAAATACTGTAGAAACTCTTCATATTTCCTGTATTTCAGTGTCAGTAAACCAGCATCTGTGCAGTAGCAGTCAGGTGCTTAGCTGTCGCGCGTGGGAGACCCAAGTACGATTCCCCTGCAGGAGGAAATTTTCATTGAGCACTCCAGTCTTTCTGCTGGGATGTTGCATCTTTCTCAGTCCTGGTTGGCTCTGACAGGCTAGGTAGAAAGCCACCTCCTAACTGGTCTAACTTGTGTTGATGAGGGCGTAAAAACCCTTACATAAAAAAAAGTGTCAGTAGTTTGAAGTGAGTTAAAACTGACAGACAATGACGTGAACATAAAAACAACAATATATACTAAAAAAAGTGTACTACTGTCGGCAAAACTTGTGCTTGTGAAATGAACGTACTCTACACAAATACAAATTATTTCTAAAAAAGCAACTCAAGAACAAACAAGCGGCTTATCCTACCACAAATACTTTCCTCGAGTCGTTGGAGGCAGCTTGGTAAGGAAGAACCAGACGGTCAAAATAAAAGCTCTGAACAAACAGCAGAGGTGGCTATCTGATAAGATTTTACAATGGATACAATTGGGGGTATTTTTGTTAAGTGGTTTAGCATTGGACTGGTATCTAAAAAGCTCTGAGTTAGACCTGGGTCCATCTGATAAGATGTTGTATCCCTCGGAAAGGAATTTTACCCAGCTGCAAATGGTACTTAGTAATAAGTAATATCAAAACATGACAACCTTAACTTAAAAAAAAAACACCAAAAAAAATACACCAGGGCGCTGCATCGTTGTGACTTCATCATCACCATCATCAAGTGCCAGATCTGCGACAGACATTGGCGATCATGGTTCTACATTCATACCTTTGCTTGGATGCTCTTAAAAAGGCTATGTTTCCCTGACCTTTCCTCATTACCCATTTGTTTATGTTCCCCATGTAGGTTACTCTAGGCCTACCCCTGCCTCGTTTGCCTTCAATTTTGCCAGTGAGAGCTAAATGTTCAAGACCCTTATGTCTATTCAGGTGTCCCAAAAACTGCATCTGTCTTTTCCTGATTGTTTTTAACAGTGAGCGTCTCACATGGGTTTCATCAAACACTACCTCATTTGATTTCTTTTCCTTCCATGATATTCTTAGCAGTCTCCTAAGAAATCACATTTCTGTTACTTTTACTTTATTTTCACTGTCTTTAGCGATGGTCCAGCATTTATATTTACAGCCATATAGAAGGGTTGACCATACATAACATTTTAGAACTTTCATTTTGGTCGTCATTGAGATGTTTCTATTTTTCAGGAATGGGCTCATTTTATTGAAACTAGCCTTAGCCATTGTAATTCTCCATTCTATTTCTGTGGAACGTTTGGCATCAGATATTATATATCCTAGATATTAACTCATTCGCTACGTATTATTTTCGGCTTGTGGATGAATATTTTTCGGGAGGGCGAAATGAGATGATGACTAGTGCGCAGTTCACAGGTCTTGGGGGCCATAAATTCAAATAAATATCAACATATTATAATCCAACATTTTCAGTATGGTTTGTAGAATACATCTCTATCGTTTATTTGAGTATTTTTCAACTTTGGTTCCTGTAAGAGGCGATTATGCAACACAATTGTGATTGGCTGCGGATAAAATTTGAAAACAAAAAATTTATAATCTCAAAAAATATGTTTGCACCTAGTCAAATTATACATCAAAATAACCATAACTGTATATAGAACAGGAAAATATTGAGAAATGAGCAGTTAGTTACATACATTCCATAATATTTGTACATTTGGATCATAACCTCCGATTTTGAAAAAAACAAAATTTTAAAATAATTTTGAAAAAAGGGTCCCAAACAGAAAAAAAACACTCGTATCTTATATGGAATTATTCAGAATTGCATTTGGAATAAACCTATACATGTCTTGGGTGGTACTTTTTGAGTAAATTCACCAAAAAGTAGTGATTTTGGGGAGAAAAAAAATATTTTGACGATTTAGATCTAGGCCTAGATCTAGCACTCAAAAATATTGATTTCTCAATTACAGTGCACTGGCAATTTGAGTCCAGTAGTATCAATAAAAGAAGAGTCCTACACTTCTTTAGTGAGCAAAATAATGATACATTTTGTTGTGTAAAAGTACAAAGACTGGTGTCTGGGCTATAATTTGGGCTTCGCGATAAAACAATGTCGCATAAACTTTGAAATCGTGTTTCAAAACTGAATCAAAACTTCCGATTTTCGGTGGAAACGCTTGACCCGGAAGTCAACTTTATATTATGACCTTTATTTTAACATGGATATGTGGATTGGAATAGAAACCAAGCTAAAATTGAAGGTCGGTTCTCGAGCCGCCGGGAGCGGCTTAGCGTACTGACGGCACTTTAGCCGCGCCGCCCCCCCACGGCTCGGCATAGCGAATGAGTTAAATTAAACTGTTGGACTTGTTTGATCTCTTCACTTTTGCTAATGAGATTACAAATAGAATTTGCTGCTTTTTTGAATATTACCATGCATTCTGTTTTCTTTACATTCAACACTAATCCTTTACGTTCACTTTCTGTTACAACAATATCTACAAGCGATTGAAGGTCCTTTTCTGAGCCAGCTATTATTTAATATTTTCCCCATTCACTTTGAGGCCTGGACATTCTTCTACGTTTCTAAGGATTATTTCACTGTAAATGTTAAAGAGTTGTGACTTCATTTGACCAAAAACGGCTCTGACCTGAAACCAACTCACAAATAGCCTCGTCAGAAGTGACTACTCACCTGCAATCTCTTGGCCATAAGATCGGTTTTTGTTGAACGTCTGCCACGCTTGCAAATTCTCAGACCTTGAGGCATGAGCCGAACCAATTCTGATAGGCATGGCAGCTTTCTTCTCTGTGTTATGAATCAGGCAGATATATGTTAGAAAACATGACTGATAGAGCAAACAGCAAATATAAAATTCAACTTAGCATTGAGTTTTCACATTTAACTTCATTTACACTGTTTCTACTCTATTTTCCAACCCTTGAGGATTAAGTTGAATTTACTACTACCATATGTATGGCCTTAGCTTGTGTGTGCCCACTGCCAATGCACACGACATGTACGCAGTGAGGGTGGACGGCATACGTAGAAGGCCTTAGTTTAGTTTGGTAAGATTCATATGGCACTCGCAACTGCATATAGGCCTACTAGGTGGGGCCTCACATACTGCAGGTGTTAACTAGCTTGACCGTCAAATCTTCGGCTGCTTATTAGCAAACATGTTCTCCAACAATCTCCAACAACGGGTCATTGTTCTAATCCAGATTTCATAATGGTAATTAATTACAAATCCATTATGCTTGAGACCAAAGAAGTCATTATTGAAGGGGTTGATCAAAACAATAAAACAAACAGCAAACACTCAAATATGTGACTTTGATAGGCACTAAAACATTTTATAAATTATTTGCTCAAAAAGGTGATTCCAGTTATAGCATGAAAAGGTTATAACAAGCTATTGCACTTTTAATTCATAAACCACATTTATTATGGTAAAGTTTGCGTCCACATATCCAAACCCCCAACTTCACTATCCCCCCCCCACCACCACCATACACACACATATATAACTCCATCCACATGCTAAAAGACACACAATCACTCCCACATACAGACGCACACATAGGACAGAAGACAGGCCACTCACCATCAAGTTCCTCCTGGTTGACCGGTGCCAACTCTTTGGCCAAAGTCACGTGTGGGTTGACCATGCTGGAGATAGGGTGTACTGGTCTTTTGCCGAATGGACTCTCCGGCTTTGCCTGGTTCACTGACTGATGATTGTAAATGATTATAAATGTTTTACACCCCCATGGTGGTTCAGTTTGGTGATTCTAAAAATTTACAAATGTTGAACGTCTTGATCAATACAATTTACACCGTTTAGTTGTGAACTTGACAGTAAAGGTTAACCTGTGGTGTTATAATTATTGTTGGTATGGTATACCGCCTTATGGTATAACTTAAAAAATGTGAATTTTAGACACATGTAAGCTCATAATACAAAAACTTAAGCATGGATCTCTTATTACAAATTTCCATTTGAGAAAACAAAAAAAACCAAAACAAATTTCATTGCTATAGAAATATTCAGTTCAACTCAAAGCTAAAGACCATCAAATTAATTTTCCCATTTCTCATCTACATTGTACTGTTTGATTCAATGAAAAGCTAATTCTTTATCAGTCAACACAAAACACTCCTCCGAAAACGGAACCAAATTTGTAAAAAAGTACTTCTACTAAGACATTACCTGTTCCTTCAGGGGAGAGAATGAGACAGAAGCTGTCTTTGGCCTGGAGAGAACCCGATGTGGAGAAGAAACAGCTGATTCCACTGCAGGCTCTTCCATGATATCTTGCTCCAGGTTAAGATGGAGGTTTTCATTACTTACAGCCACAAGTTCATCCCCGTCACCGGCAAATTGAAGACCAAAGGCAAATTCATTTTCTTCTTGACTGTACGGAGGTGGATCATAGGGCTCATTAACATACTGTAAAAAGATAAAAAGCAGGAATTTAATAATGAGACTAATATACTGCTGGGAAAACGCAAGATAAATAGACAGTAATAATAGAAAGAGAGAAAAGAAGTGGGACCTACAAATGGCATCTTCCAATCATCTATCCATTACAACACATATGCCTGTGTATAAAAAAAATAAATGTAGGTGTTTTCACATTCCCATCAACACAATTTAAATTATTTAGGAGTGGTTATTTTTAACAGGTGGGCATTTTGAAGAGTGTCATTGTCATCATCATCATAAAGTGTCAGATGTGAAACAGACATAGGCGACCATGGTGCTCCATTCAACTCTCTGATGTACTCAAAAAAACCTATATTCATTATCCTAGTATTTCCCCCCTCACCATCCCTTCAGGTTGTCCTAGTAAGTTGTTCTGGGATTACCACTGCCTCGTATGCCTTCTATTTTTTCAGTGAGAGCAAGATGTTAAAAGCCGTTATGTTAATTAAAGATTCCCAGAAACTGCATTTGTCAATACCTTATTGCTTTTATAAGTGAGGAGCCCACATCAGTATTTCTTTGTTTGATTTCCTTTCCTTCCAGAAAATCGATAAGTCTCCAAAGAAACTACATTTCTGTTGCTTCTATTTCATTTCCATTATCTTAGCTAATTATCCAGCACTTACAGCCATATTGAAGGGTTGACCACACAGAGCCTTTAAGAACCCTTAATTTAGTAGTTATTGAGATGTTTCTATTTTCAGGATAGGCTTTGGAACATTTGGCGTTAGATGTAAAGATGTATCTTAGATATTAGAACTGAAGAACTTGTTTGGTCTTTTCACTTAACTTATGAGATTACAAATAAAGTTTTCTGCTTTTTAAAATAGTACCACGTTCACTTTCTGTCATATTAGCAACTAGGAGCAGTTGAAGTTGAAGATCCTTTTCTAAATCCACAATTAAAACTGTGTCATTGGCATTATATCCGATCTCTTTAATATGTTTTCCATTCACTTAGAGACCTGGTCTTTCTTATACATTTCTAAGGATTGTTTCACTGTGTAGATTAAAGAAGTCTGGAGACAGTCTGGTGACATAACATATCCCTGCCTAACTCCTCTTTTGATGAGCTCATATTGTCATTATAATATATATAAAACATACAAGGGAGAAGAAGGAAGCAATTGTTTGTACAAGTCATTGTTTTGATGGATGGCAATTTACAGAAGGTCCAAGTGTACCGTACTATAAATCCTTTTCACTAATCGATACAAATGACACATACCCGAGGCACAAAGTCAAGCCTAAAACTCTCGTGGCCCCCATTCATTCTTGGTGTGCTCTGAAATGAGTTGTACAGTTTCTGTCGACCACCCGAGTAACCCTGGCGTGGTGTGCTGAAACGACCAGAGCGACTTGGGGTGACTTTGACTCTGCTGCTTGAGGGCCTCTCTTTAGCTGATTTCGCTCGTTTTGGTTGCCGTGGGGTTGTTGCTTTAACAAGCACATCCTTAGCCTCCTCTTTGAGGACCTCTTTCCCAAAACGCTGATGACAAAATATTCATCATTTAAAAATATATGACACAGAGAGAGAAGAAAGGATGAAAGTGAGCCAAATACCTTCAAGATTTAAGATAAAGTGTTTTATTCAAAATAATCCTCTGCATTGCCGTTTATATTGCTGAAAAAAAAAAAGAAAAATTGTTTGTTCAGATTAATGAAACAATGCAAAAACTCTGTAAAGGTAACTCATCTCCCTTGAAAAACTGTTATCTTTCGAAATATTCAAGAAAGGAACAAAGGATTATTTCTATTTATGAAACTTAAATTCTTTTATTCCTGTACCAAACAAGGCAACAGACTTTTAAACTTGCCAATAAACACCAATCATCACAGCAAAGACACACACTAATAGCACTGTAGACTTCAAGGAACAAAGTAAAGCAGGCAAAGAAAAAGGTATGAAAGAACATATAAGTTCAAGATAAAGAAAAAGCACATTTGTACAACAACAGCATGCAATGTTGGGCTAGAGAGACAGATAGAAACAAGAGAGTAAAGAAAAGAAGTAAGGAATACACAGGCAAACAAATGGAGAGCATAAATGCCCATAACAGAAAGGATCAAACCACAGCCATCTGGCTGTGAAAGTACTGTGATCCTTTGACTTACCACCGGAACAAAATGAATGCAAAGAACCCACCAATGTCTTTGCCCTGCGATTGTCTGCAAGTAATTATCCAAAACTTGCTCTTTCAAGCCTAACCTATAACATCTTCAACATCAACCTCATCCTCTACATCCAAATTTTGCCAACTCGGGACAGACACAGATCGTATCAAAATTCATTATTTCCTACAAAAAAGGGTCCTCTGCTATTTATGTACTTTATAAAGATGTTACCCATGAGGTCAATGAGGACGATTTGTTATGTTTCTCAAAGAATGGGAGGAATTAACAATCTTCTCTTACGCTTGAAGAACACAAGATGCATCACTCCTTAAATATTGCTCTCTACTCACATTTTTGTAGAGGTTGTTACCCTCCTCTTTATTGAGGGCATTAAAAAAAATTCTCAAATAAAAAGAATGATCCAACTTATACAAAAAATCCTTGCTGTACACCAACAGAAAACAGCACAAAAAGAGCACAAACTTTTACAACTTACAACATGATTGTTAAGCTTGAAAGGCATGAGCCTAAATGCAGCAGAATTCATAAACACCTGTTCCACAGAGGCTGTCAATAGAATTTGCAAGAAACACTAATTATTAATACCACAACCCATATGATTGAGATTTTGGATCATTTTGAAGGCGGAGGGTCCGTAACTCGGGCGGAGTGGAATGGTGCATCCCAGTAAAAAGACTGTGAGACTCGATAAAATATATTCTGCATGTGGGACTGAACTCTTTATCTCCAGCAAGCCGCCCCCAGCGGCTCGCTGTCAGAACCGCTATGCCGGTGAGCCGCGGACACAGGCACATTTCTTTACGACGACTTTCAAGTCAACTTACGTTTCGGTATTTGCTGAAAACAGGTCTCTTTTATTGGGATTTCATTCATTAGATGAAGAACTATCAAATAAGTTTACTTGTTTCGATTTAATGACCAATTTAATAACATTTTCATCATTTTTAGATTTAGTACCAAAAAAGGCCCCCGGCATAGTGGGTTTACTCCCCTCTGAGACAAAGAGTTAAACTCACTTCTTTGGCACCCAAAGGCAAAGAGCTTTCGCATTAACCAACAGACACTGGTGCAAGAGAATTTGAGATGGTTCATGCCAAGAGACAAAGCAGAGTTCAAAACAGACGCAAATGTCATCCCTAGGATCCCGAATTTCAGATCGAGTACTCACCGGTCCACAGTACAGGACGTGCTTGTTGGCCATGTACCAGGTGTGGACCCGCCTCAGCCCCTCTCTCTGTTCACCTGTCCGTTTTCTGTGAAGGGAATAAAAGTGATAATTTAGATCATCAAGTCTTCATGGTAAGACTCCCCATTTACTCCGAAGTACACATTACATTAAAGTATGGCAAACAAATTATTCAGAAGCCCAAAATATAGACAGAAACAAAAAGACTTTCTGCTAGCTTCTGCAATATGAAACAATTATATAGCATTGTGTTAACACAAACACTTAAACACTGACGCCAGCAGACACAGCCATAGAAACCATTAAATATAAAATCAACAGCATCAAAAAGAAACAGCTACTCACTCCTTGACTTCACACAGCATCTTCACAAGAATGTTGTAAAACTTTGTGTCTCTGATGGCTTGTTCCCTGAAAGAAGTTCAATAAAAACAAGATACAAGTCTTCCTATCGTTAAGGAAATAGTTAATGGTCAAATTGTTTTTGAAGGAAGATCAAGTACATCATAGTAGTTTTGAAATGAAATAGAAGGATCAGACCACATCAGAGTATCAATGGCCCACCCATCTTTCAAGCTTAAAATTATTGATATTCATCTGATTGAACACACAGTGGACACATGAAATTGGAAAGATCTACCTTGGTAAAGTGAGGAAAATTCAGATAAAGTGCCTTTCCTAAGGACTCAACATCAGGCCTGAGGCTCAAACTCCTGAACCTGCAACCTCACGATAACAAATCCGGTAGCCTAACCACTGGACTAATGATGCCACAATTACTTCTATTAGACATCCAAGAATTTGCCTGTAGCATGGCTCCTCTGCTGTTCGACTAAAACAAGGCACAGGACAAAACTATCAGGTGAGCCGAGTTGTAGTTTATGGCAGGTCAGCATAACAACTACATTTTGCCTGGAACAGATTACGATAATAGCAACAGAAGCAGAAGGACCAGACAAAATCAGAGTCTCCCTCAGACACCAGCTCTAGCAAACAAGTAGACTGCATGCGACAGGAACACTATGCATACTGCTTTGAATGTTTCCACTCACTGGAGATCTTTAGCCTTGCCAGTCAGGTGGGCCAGCTTGAGGTCTCGGTGATGGCGCTCCATCGCCCAAAACATAGATTTGAACTCTGGCACTATCATCAACTGGGGAAAATAAAATATTAAATAAACGTTAAATTGAAAACACATCCACTCTTCTGAAACAAGGTCATACTCTTCCTCCCTTCACTAAGTAAAAACTACACCATGGCAGAAAAGCTCTACATCTTTATAAACAAAAGAACAAAAGCAAGAAGAAAATACCACTTTTATTTATATCCCTAGGGAAAATATATGTACAATAGTCTCCAACTAAGATCCAATCGCTTACAATCCCCATTTACTTAAGATCCCCCTGTTTTAAGAAACTATCATTTTTACTACACAAAAGTCAACATTAAGATTCCACTCTGAAGGACTCCATTCGGCTAAGATTGACCATTTCAGACCATAATTTACGAAACAAAAACTTGGAAGAGTGCAGCTGATCAACTAAGCAGTGAAAATTTGCGATCACTGTACTGCCTGCTGCACCACAGATTATCCACTCCCATGAATGTGATCACATCTCCGTTGTAAATCTTGATGAGAAGGTGCAACATTTGCCCTGGAAGGGCATCACATAGAGGTGTAAACTAGTTGACGCGTTTGTTTTGTCCCAAACATCAGACTCGCATTTGAGTTCTCCACCTAAACTTACATCACGTCTTGGATGGGTAGTGCCAACAACAACTACAAAGCCACATCAGATGGGATCACATGGAACCAAAAATCGTTGATGCTTTTATTCCTGTGACCATCGCAGCAGTAAAGCTGTTTTCTTTTCCAACGCCTGATTTTCCAAGATAGACTAGGTTTTAATAGGAGGTGGGGTCACAAAACAATGGTGCCTTACGACAGAGGCTGGGGAACTCGATCAAAGATGGAAAGCTATACATTTTGGACAGGGGAGTAGCAATATGATCGATGTAGATCTTGAGACTCACAATTAGATTCGTGAAAATGGCATGCCTCACGCCATTATGATTGGTCATGAAGACTAACCACTCTCGGCTCGTCATAGGTCATAAACACAACCAGAGGTCACGCCAGCGCATTCCAAAGTAGGGGGAGATAACTTTACAGATTGCGGGCCTGACCATGATTCACTATGGATTCACCCCCTGATGAATCGACTAAGATCCTGCATTTTCTTTGCTCCCAAGCACCAGGATCTGCCATAGATTTCTGAACCTTTGATATATATATATATGTTTCAAACAATGTAAAATATTCTCTTAAAATCAGTTAAAAGTAACAACATTATCAAAACACACCAAGTGATACCTTTACAAAATACTACATCATGACTCTGACCAAACATGTAGAATTTTTTCCTGTAAACAAGAACTTACTTTCTACTCTTAAAAATACAAAATTTAAATCCTTCAGCTATTTTAGCATTATTGCATTATTCAGCATCAAACTTTTAAAATCTATATTAAGAACATAAAAAAGGCACATTCATCCAGAACATGATAAAGCCCTCTTCACTGGAAAAGTTTTCTTTGACCCATCAGTCAGCATAAAATAGGACTACAATTGAAATGTATTGCATTTTCTTGAGATTTTCACAACCAAATGCGATTACTCTGCCAACTCTTGAGCTTGTAGGAAGTACAATTTAATTGAGTTTATTTTTTTTTAGTCAAGCTTCAATTACCACTAAAATGTAGATGCCAGATGCGTAAGGGACTTTGCTCAGTGGGAGAAAGTCAGGGGTAAAAGAGAAAAGACGTTTTATTTTGTCCATGAAGGTATCACCTCAAATCAAACCCAAGTATTTTTTCCATTCAGGCCCTTTCTCTCTCTCCACTTGGAAGTTCCCTTGGAATCATACAGCCTTCGCACAAAGGCGGAAAGGATACTGTGAATGTTATGAAAAAAAAAATTTTTTAAGTAACTGGTTTGTTTGCCATTTATTAGCCAAAAAAGAACAGAGGATAGGATGGCCACCCAAAAAAGTTTTGCTGACATAGAACAAAGAAACAAATACCACTTTTCTTGCCTCTGAAATATATTAAGACTTGTTGAAGGTACGGTAAACAAACCAGATGACAAGAAGTATCTTAATCATTACGCCTACCTGAGATCGCCGTAGTCGATTCAGCCCCTTTTCCAGATCCTCCAGCCCGCCAACAGGGAGGTAAGCCACAGTGCTCATGATGATTGATGCACACAGAAAATCCTTGCCAGTATTATGCTTCCATTATGCTCTGGAAAGATCATTGAAAAATATCTTGATGAGAACATAACCTATAATATTAATAACATTATAGACGAACACACAAATTCTTCTTAAATTAGCAAAATAAATGAAAACATAGCCAGTTTTATTCATACAACAACTTAAACAAAAAAGATCTCAATGGCTGATTTTTTAAAAAAATGAGGATGATAAATTTCTAATATTTCAAAGTAAAAAGTAATGGTTGGCAAGGCATATGTGCCACATACATTATCTTAATTTTAGGAAAAGCAAATAAACATATGATTAAAATCCCTGATTTTTTTCAGAAGGAAGAAACTGTGAGACAAGTATGGAACTCCATATTTTGTATTAAAAACTAGCCTTGGGCCCTCCACTCCCCCCATCCAATATTTGAAAAGACATGCAAAAATCTGAGGTCTTGTCTTCATTGCTTCCTGCAGGTGTCTTGTCTTTTAAAAACAATATAACTACTAGGTTTCGAAATACACGTTTATCAATTTTAATGACAGTCATTAAATATAAGAGACACTGAAAATATTCAAAACATGATTCACATGGACCCCAATACAATAACTTGAAGTTTTTGTCAATATAGTTCAGGGTTTACTATTTGTTATTCTATGTGTATAGTAAGCATACAGCTTTGAACCATAAATTATGATGCTCACATTTTATTAAAAGTCAAACAGGAAACCAGTGGATCAGTTCTTGAGTACAAATCAATGCAATTTTAAATGATAAATTCTTACGTTCAAAACCATGAAATCTAGCTCCATCATGTTCTTTGGAATACTAAATGCTACTTTGTCTTTGCTAAAATTTTGAAGTTGAAGTCTGAATCTAGTGAGTGAGGGTGGTTGGCGGGTGCTCTGGTGTGGTTTGCTCCTTCTTTCCTATCCAACATCTTTCATCCTTATCTCCCCTCCTTCTTTTTTGTGTTTGTTGCTCTCTTGTAACACCTCGCTAATCTTTGGCACTTATATATGACCTTATTGTGTTACAAGTGCCATAAAACTCTTACTAAAAAAAAAAGAAGTCTGAATAAAAACAACGAAGTGACTATTTCTCCGAACGCTCGGGAAAATAAACATGACCTCTATTTCTCCGAAAGGTTTCTGTTATCGAGATTTTTTGGTAATTTGCGAGATTTAGGCGTCATCTTTCATTGATTTTATTCTGCCATTCTGCGAGGACTGGGAAGCAGTGGCGGTGGGTAGTGAAGGGCTCACGGGCTTGAGCCCCTCTCCCCACCCCCCAACTCTATTCCAAAGCAAATGAAAATAACGAAATAAGCAGTTGAAACCGTTATGATCGTACGGAATAAACACAGAGTAATCAACTTGCCTGCTTGCTCGTGTATCCAATCACTGTTGTCCCCGCTTACAACTATAGTAACCTAACAGCCAATCAAATTAATGTCTTTAGGGCTCAGCAAAGATGAGCCGGTTCCCACGGGCCCTCGTAAATGAAACTCTTCGTGTAAAAAGGTAGACGACTTGAAAAAAATAACACTGCACCGAGGGCTCACCCTGTCCTAGCCCTGACAATGGGGTGAAAGTTTACGACACACTTTCCCCCAGTGACACAGTTACCTATGCTCCCATTGGACCTTTGTTAGGTGCTGTCTACTTTCCTCGACTACACAGCCTAATCCAGCTCGTGGAGTGCTGTGTATAAATGTTTGTGTGTGTGCCGCTGAGATTTAACAGTTATTAATTACATCAAACCCCTTTTGAGGCAACTTTTTCATCAGATGAAAATTAATTAAAGACGTTTGGAGGTTTCGTCCCCAGCATCCAGAAGAATTTAACGTAGAACAAAGAGAAGGAAGGCAAAGGTGACTCTTCTCATTTGAATGGTTCTCAAAATGTCGTGGCTCGCCGTGAGTATGGAAAAATCACCATTGTTTTGTTCTTATTGCTTGCAATTTAGAGGTAAAGAAGTGAAAGCAATCCAAGCCTCACCCAAATTTTGGTCCACCCACCGCAACTGCTGGGAAGAAGCATTTTTTGCATCGAATTCAATTTCTAGAGCTAGACATTTTTTAATGTCTGAATATTCAGATACTTCAATTGTGGTTGGGGTAACGTTCCCGGACTAGTATACTTCATTTGTAAATATGCCATCAAAAGGTGTACTGCGAGAAAACAAGACTGCTCGACTTGGGCAGTAACCTGTTTTGCATTTATAGTCATCCCTAAAGCAAAAAGTAAAATCCTTCTTGTTAAAAAAAAAATCCCTTCACGCCCCCCCCCCTCTTTCGCACCTTATATTTTATACACATATATATACACTCTCTCACTCTCTCTCGCTCCATTCGCAAATGTAATGTGCTCTCTCTCTATCTCTCTCTCTCTCTCTCTCTGTCACACACACACACCAACACACACACACACACACGCGCGCGCGCACGCCTGCGCGCTCGCTTGAGCTCCATTTTTGCAAATAACCAACAAATCTTAAGAATGGAAACCGTTCAGGGAAATAGAGTTCATGTTATTTTCCCGAGCGTTCGGAGTTATAGTGCCAGCCAAAAAATAAAGTCTGACAAGAGTACTAAAGAGTGATGCAATATGGTCGGTATCACGAGTTATAGAATAATAATCTAACGAAACAGCAAGCACCAAAACCTTTTAAGAAACACAAAATCCCAGACAATGCAACCAACTTACATTTCATTCAAGTTAAAAATTTTTGTCCATCACTAGATCTAGATCTAGATCATAGCATTCAAGAGATAAATCATAGATATAAATCTAGATCTCGATCTAGAATCTATCTAAAAGTAAGATGTCCAGTAAGTCCTGCTCGTGTTGTATGATTCAGACTAACCTTCATCATCACAACACTCAAATATAAATATCGCAACTCATATTATATTTAGTTGAGTTCACATTTATCAAGATCTAAAGCTACATTCTGCCAAAAATAGATCTAGATTCTAGATCTTTAAAACTTCATCCACCTGAGAGAAATATATAATGTATTTCTTTGTGCGAGACTAGATATTCAAGTAGTTGAAGTAGATCTAATCTAGTAGCAGTAGATCGGTGACAGCATAAAATGGAGTCCCCAGAACGGATAATTAATAGATCTAGTAAACATGAATTTTACCTTTCAGGGTATCGTTCACAACGTCATCAAAGGTCGCGATGAACACGGTCCATGTTGCTAGATCCAATAATAGCAGCTAGATTCTAGATCTAGTCTAGATCTAGCGAGGAACTTGAAGGCAAAGACAAGACCCAGCCCCCACAGCCGTTCGAGACCACCTACGGTGTACAATAATTCTACAGGAACTCCCCCCTACCTGGTGCTTGCAGTTTGGATCAATAACAACAAAACACAAGGAACAGCTAAGCAGCAAACCTGGCTAGTGTTCAGCGTTCTGTAACGTTCAATAATGCAGCTGGGAGTTTACCTACCCCATTTACACTTCGGCACTATGGCTCGTAAACCCCTTTTCAGTCACGAACCTCGCCTTTCATACTTTCGGTTCCTGATAAAGAGGGCCGAACAAATCCTGAACAAGTCTGACGTGTAGTGAACATTATGATCAATCGAAACACTGTGTATTGATTGGAGACTTCCGATAGGACGTTTACGCTGTCAATAAGTCCACCCGCGACAATACCCAGTAGACCTCGTCTGTTGTGCAGTACCGCTGTGGCAAAGGGTACGCGGGTGGCGTTCTTGGCAACCACCCCTTTTGCTTACACAGATCACATGACTTCCGTGGAAAAAAAGGGCGGGAATTATACTCGTATCTCGCTGGATTCGTCTATGAAAGGATTTTATGACTATCCTAGGGGCCTTCATGCGTCGGGCTTATTCGGCCGCAAACGCAATGGCTTGCTGATCAAAGTCCTTACCATGACAAACTGTCCTTTAAATGGATTCGGCTAAGATATAATTCATATACACCGATAACATAATATAATGCACATAACATTTTAACAAAAAGTTATTTTGAGACATTTATTAGGCTATAATATTAATGTTTCAAGAAGCTGGACGTCTTCAGTGCATGGTCTACATCTTGGCATGAAGATGGGTTCTTGTAGGATCCAAATGTTTTATATCATTTATATGACCTTATGCAATTGCGAGCGTCATAAAACGTTTACCAAACATTTAATTCTTGTAGCGTCCACTCTTCACCTAATTTATGTTCGCCATTTTGACAGGGTTTAAAATTGCGCACACACTGTTTACAATTTGGATTCGCCTCAGCCCGGTCAGTCCTACCCTAAACAAAGTAGTGAAGGGACGGGCGACCGGCGACAGGTTAGAAATGTATATGTAGTACATGTATAAAGGGCTTCTTACAAGATAGCTAATTTGTGTTAAGCGTTAGTGCGGCCCTCTCTTAAGCTAATTAAAGTGGCTTCGCCAGCTGTGAAAGAGGAAGCGCTGTCTGGCCTCTCTCTCATGCTAGCCTATGTTCTGGAAAAAAAAAGCCGATCATACTCTGAATTGCTTTTGATAAAGATAGAGAAGATTAGATCAGTTGCCCCTTTTCACTATTCTTGAACTTATAAAAAAATGGAATAGGCTACTTGGTATGGCCCAGGATCAGCCTGACTCAACGTCCAGCGGTCTCCGTGTTGACCAAATCTGAGTGAGTTCTGCTTGTGTGATTGTCGCTCACATTACTCTCCAAATTGAAGTTAATTTCGCTTATCCTTATTTTAATATTTCCAAGCCGGGTCGTTGGAAAAAGAACACTTTTTAAAAGAATTGTTTTACGGTGCTCGCAACTGCATAAAGTCACATGAACATGCGGGACACATGAAACATTTTTCAGCTAAAAATTTGCACGGGTGGCGGCCGAAGCCTACTCTTATCGATTTTGGCCCACCAAGGGATCTTTAATTAACGTGCCAACTTGCACACGGGACCTCCGAGATGTTTCGCCCTTATCAGAGAAGGCTTGGTGTAGATCTTTGTATATACCATACGATCAGGGATGTGGATGAAAGATCGCAGTGAGAAGGAGCCACAGAGTAGCAGTAGAAAGAGTCAGGACCCTAGAGGTGGGTGCAAAGGAGGTTACGGGTGGGGGTAGAAAGTGGAGACGAAAGCAGACAACAGAAGAGGAAAGAGAGCAGGAAAGGATGTGAAAGGAGAACATTTTAGAGAAGAAAATTTTCCGTCGCTATCCGGATTCGAGAGTGTTGAGAAACGGAAAGAAAGGATATTTGGAAGTGGGAAGGCGACGTGGGATGGGTTTCTCAGAGGAAGGGGATTTTTGGGTGGGTTTTGGGTGTGTGTGTGTGTGGGGGGGGGGGGGTCATTTTGGAAGAGCCCTGTTCTTTATTCTTAATTAAAATTATAAAAACACTATTATAAAAACTCTGAAGTCAAATCACTTTCAGAGACCCCGTATCTAATGCATCATCGAGTATTTGAAAAAAAAAAAGTTTGATTAAGGACTGCTGGGGCACCTGAGGTCTATTTTGGTTATTACAAGGCCTAGAGTGCCCTTATTTGCTGTGGGACATTGTGTGCTATTGGGGATTTGAAATCTATATTTCAAAATGTATATTTTTAATCGGTTGCTATGGAAACGGCGGCCATATTGGATTTTGTATACCTTTTCCAATCCCATTTTATTCCCTTATTTATTAATCTATTAACTTCTAATTTGGCATGCCAACATTTAACATAAAGGTCTTAAATTTGGCTTGTTGGAATTTTGATATGTACTTTAGTTTTTATTTTATGACACTTACAATTGGGTTGTTGCAAAAAAAGTGAAAAAAATTGGAAAATTCATGCTTTCTAAGCCCTTAAATCAAAAACTACTACATTAATCAAAGATTCAACAAGCCAAAATTTAGAACTAGGTGTTGTTGGCATGCTGTTAAAGTTACATTGAAATTGAACAAGAAACATGGCAGAAAAATGGGATAATGTGTGAAAAAATAGAATTGTGAGAAAACAGCCGATACAGGTAAGAACTGACTGGAATACATCTGCTTTTGCAGAAACACTTGGACAAAAAAGACAGCTTTAGGGTGTAGCAAAGCTTACATACGTTTCTGGAGATTGTTCAGGAAATGTCCAGGTACTATAATATGTAATAACCCCAATTTGCATAAATTGGCCCCAAAACAAGATTTCTAGGTGCCCCACCAGCCCTGGGGGGAGGTGCAGGTATTGTTTTCCCATCCCGTACCTTACCGCACAACCTCTCCACATACAGATACTCACACTTAGTCTTTGGGCTCCGCATTAAACTTTGTGAAGGTACTTCTGGTACACAACTCTTTTAAGTGAATAGACGCACATATATATACAATATCGGTCGGTTTGTAAAGGGAAATAGTAAGATAGACAAGTGGAAAAATCGGGGAGGGGGGGGGGGGTTAAGAGGGAGCAAAAAAGATTTTGCAACACCTCCTCGTCTTGCAAAAAAGACCTTTCATCTGTCCTTCAATAGAAAAGTGCGTCAAGATATATAGATCTAGAATCTAGTAGGTTGATATTGAAACCGCCCCCTCCCCCCTCATTTTTTTATTCTCTGTCACAAAGGACAATAAACAGCAAAATGAAGCACAAGAAACAAACATAAAAGGCAAACGATTTTCACAGAAAGTAAGCTCCAAAACAAAAATGCCGCATTCATAATTCAATACCGGCGTCTGCGATGCAGCGGTTAGACGCTTCACCCTCCCACACAGATGGCGAGAGTTCGATCCCTTTGTGGGGGGAAAAAAGGGGGAGGGGGTGGTTCAGCAGGTTTTCATTAACTGTCTGTCTGCTGGGACTTGTACATCACTCGCAGCATAGGTTGGTCCTGACAGGCAGGATCGAAGCATCCTGCTTCCTTTACTGATGGTCTAAATTATTGTGTCGATGGGACGTAAAACATTCACAACTACAATACTTGCATGCTCAATAAGGATATGGCTTGTAAAGCACAAAAAGCTTGCTGTTCAGCGGGAACTTGCGCTGTACAAATGAAATAATTAATTATATTTATTATCTTTGTATTATCTATAATTCAAGCTTCAACATGTGGGTGGTTGCCGGGTGATCTGGTGTGGTTTTCTTCTTCTTTCCTATCTTTCGTCCTCATCTCCCCTTCTTCTTTTTTATGTTTGTTACTCTCTTGTAACACATCTAATCTTCTGGCGCTCATATGACCTTATTAAGCAGTAGCGAGCGCCGTAAAACCTCTACTAAAACAAAAAACAACAAAAAAATTTGAACATATCCATTTTCGATTTTCCACTCGCTTATCTTTATTCGGAACCAAAATATTAAAAACAGTTTCACATGTTTGCAATATTTAGAGAACAGATTTTGAGAGCGAGTCCATGAGTTACGCATCAACCTAGACAATAGACAGCATCTAATTCAAGATGACATCTAGGCTAATCCAAGATACCATCTAATGCGTTGTCGTCCTCCGAGTCTTGCCGATCCATCTCAATCCTTCATGATCGTCGTCGAGTAGAACGCTTTATGACATTAGAATTTTACGGACTATCTTTTCAACCAGTGTGTACTTGTTCTGTTCTGTAAAAGTAAAGGGAAACAAAATAGTTCTGCACTTATTTTAGTGGTGAGTGTTCTGTTTCGTTTTCTAACAAAACATCTGTCAGAGACATCTTTGATCCTCCCCCTTGTACTAAAATATGTATACAAAATAAGTCAAAAATAAGTAACTCCATTGAATGTTAATACATGTACACGTAGTCACGTGAGAAATACTCAATAAGTCAGATGTCGTCATCTAATGTCTTTGAGGACTTTTGAAAGAGGCCTCAAATAGAATAATGACCCACCTTGTAATGTTAAATCTTTGGTACAAGCCAGTTTGAGCCCTTCTTCCGTTCAAATTAGTTTACTTGATCTTGTTCGCACACCTAGGGTCTCCACTCTCTATAGGGTCACCGTTGGGTCGCCTTTGCAGTCTTGACGTTATTTGCGAAGACGTTGTTAAACTTACTTTTAGAATGGGGAGGGGGGGATTTACGTTTAGGCATACCAGTCTTTAATTGAATATATATAAGGTTTTGAACCTCTGTCTTCAGCATTCCGTAATAAAGGATTCTAACCCTATCACTACAGGGTGTCTTCTCATGTTCTACCTTCTCTCTATCCCTGCAATGATTTTCTTCTAGAACTTCCAAGTGGGAACGCTGAGGGTGCCGTTGTCAGGTCTAACTGTAACACATCTGTCAGTTATATCAATCCGTTACCAGTCCTTACTTCCAATACGTCTGTCAGTTATAGCAAATCGTTATATCCGTCTGTTGCCTTTTCCCTTCCTGTTCCAAATTATACTTGACAAACTGAAAAACGTTTTTTTGTTGTTGTTTCATCTCATAACTTAACAATGACCTGTACATTTGAAATCCAGCTCTTCGTAACCTATGACATTGAAAAAACCCACCACACTGATGTCTAGCTGTTGTATGGCTACTACTTGCTGCACGCAGAAGAGGAAAAAATTGTTTTAGTTTCTAGTGACTGCCTCATTACTTTATCTTCCGTTTAGGGTGCTTTCTCTTTTAAATGTAGGTGTTTTTACATCTCCATCGCCCGCCACCATTTAGATAATTTAGCAGGCGGCCTTTCGACCCTGCCTATAAGGGCCATCTTGTGCTGAGATGAATACAACAAAAAAGCTCCCCATTCGGGCATCGAATTTGGGTCTTCTGTGTGCAACAGCGAAGTGCCTAACCGCTGCACCACAGTCGCCGGTGTGTAATAGACTCCCACGTGCTGCACACAGAACAAGAAAAGTTGATACCAGTTACTGTCTCTATCTTTCTTCTAGGATGCTTCCCACCTTGCTTGTCTTAGCTCCGACAGACAAGGTCGTAGCATCCCGCCTCTTGGATGAGCCATAGTGCGTCGACGAGGATTTTAATATTTAAGGGGGGG